TTCCCATCAAGTTGAGGCCACGAAAACTATATCATAAGCCTTAAGACAGGCTTAAAAGTTTTTTAAAACTGGAAAATCCCATCCCTGCTTGCAATGTACTTCCACCTATTCGACTCCTGCCCTGCTCATTGCAGCCCAGCCTCTCCTCGCAGTAAGAGCGCCAAAAAATTGCCCATCTACTCTACAATGCAAACCTAGCTGCCTCATGTATGGATCTGCATTCTGATTAATCATCTTGTCACCAGGAATATGCTCTGTAAGATCAAGGTTATCCTCAGGCTTGATTGCACTATCATGACTGCCATCTTGACTTTCTTGACCATATCCTATGGGGACTTTTGTATAAGATCTAGTCTGGCCAAACAAGTGTGTGGTCTTGGCTGTAGGGAAACCACACGTCAAAAAAGAGCTGTATCAAGGTATGCCTGGAAGGCAGCGGATACATACATGCCTGTGCCTCTAGTACAATTAAGTAATTAAACTTACAATTAAACTAAGGAAACTTTCTCCCTTTAGTACAGTGGCTCTCAACTTTGACCACCTGAAGATGTATGGACTTAAGTTCCTAGAATTCACCAGCCAGCATAGTGGCCAAAGTTGAGAAACACTACTTTAATACATAAGTAAGGTAAGGTAAAGGTTCCCCTCGCACATATGTGCTAGTTGTTTCCGGCTCTAGAGAACGGTGCTGATCTCCGTTACAAAGCCAAAGAGCCAGCACTGTCCGAAGACTTCTCCATGGTCATGTGGCCGGCATGACTAAAGGTGCACGGAACGCTGTTACCTTCCCATCAAAGTGGTCCCTATTTTTCTACTTGCGTTTTTACATGCTTTCGAACTGCTAGGTTGGCAGAAGCTGGTACAAGTAACGGGAGCTCACTCCATTATGCGGTGCTAGGGATTTGAACTGTTGAACTGCCGACCTTTCTGATTGACAAGCTCAACGTCTTAGCAACTGAGCCACCACATTTAGTACATAGCATCCTGTTACTTAGAAATATTGCAGGAGAAAGAGGGCAAACATTCCTTCCGGGTGCAAAGATATCAGGCATGGCATAAATTTTGACTGCCTTCTCAGGGCTACTGCATGCTCTATGTCAGGAGGCAGAATCATTAAATATGAGAGTGCTCCACAGTCAGTGTCATTCTGGACCTTTCCCCACTGCTGAATTGAAGTCTTAGGACATAGACAGACAGCCATCTCTCCAAGCTTCTCTCCAAACTGTAGTCTAGCATGAACTATGCTGACATGCTGGATGCCGTGTTATCGCTGAATAACAAGTCCAGCAAGTCCAGGACTGACCTTGCCCTTTTCACCAGGGACAAGGAAAGGAAAGTGATGGATATTCCCCTGCCTCAGTTTCTCCTCCCACTGGAAAGCAGTACAATCACTCTCCCTAATCAATGGGAGTGTAAGTGAGGGGTTTGAATGGCAGGTTTAGCCAGTGTTGACTGACTAAGAGGCCACAGGTGTGACGCTTGGGAAAGAGTGCCAAATACGTATTGAGAAACTGGCCTGGCAGACAAATCTGCATCATCATCTACTCTAAGCAAAACCAGCCTGGTCCCGATTGATCTGATCCAACAGTGAAACAGCTTCCTGATGGAGAGCCGGCTGCTGATATTCAGGGTTGATTTTGAATATCATGATATTGATACTGACATTGATATTTGGCCTTTTCCTGATTTTTATCGACTTCTGTTTTTATTGTTTGCATTTTTATGTTTGGAGGTTGATTGTTCCTATTATTTGTTAGGGGTTTTATACCATGGATGTTTAATCGGTTTTATTGAAAAGAGTCTTTTCAATCCACCCATCCATCAGAATAGAGCTGAAAGGGACCTTCAAGGTCTTCTAATCCAACCCCTTGCTCAAGCAGGAGACCCTATACAATTTCAGACAGAAAATGGCTGTCCAGTCTCTTCTTAAAAGCCTCCACAACTTCCGAAGGCAAGTTATTCCACTGGTTAATCGTATTCGCCGTTAATCATCTTCACTGTCTTCACTTCTCTTTAATTCTAGGTTGCTTCTCTCCTTGATTAGTTTCCATCCATTGCTTCTTATCTTGCCTTCTGGTGCTTTGGAAAATAAGTTGACGCCCTCTTCTTTGTGGCACTGAAAATTTCGATTGCAGTGGGGTAGAAATGGGCAAAAATGAATTGCAAATATAGAGGAAGGGCAGAGGAATGGGGTGAATTGGGAGAAAACCTCCCTGTCAGCATATTGGGAGAGTTAATCTCCTGGCTTTTCTCTGGTTCTGGGACCTCTCACCTAGGTTAATGGAAGGTTGTGGGGCAGTGAAGTAGGAAGGAAGAATCAATAATGAGCAAGCACTGTTTTCAACTGTTTCTCCAAGGGCATGTCAGGGCTGGCTGTGAGTGGTTGTGGCCAGTAGTTCCTGGAATGGGTAAAACAGAATTTCCACAAATAATAAAAACAGAAAACAAAGACAGCCGCCTCCACACCTTTTCCAACAGAAACATAATGTTGGCACATGTGACAACAGATTAGCAAAGTACAGAGGTGGCTCTCTTTCAGGGAAGCGGGGGTCAAAAAAAATCAAAAGGGCAGCCAAAACCATGCAATCAAAACTTTGTCCTTTTTTTTTTTACATGTGTTGACAAATAAGCACATGTTGTTTAATATAATTCCCTTGGGCTGCCAGATTCTTTCAGATTTTTTACTACCACAGACCAGCGTTTTTCAAACTTGACAATTTAATATGCGTGAACTTCAACTCCCAGAATTCCCTGCTTTTATGACCATAATGGACCCTGGAATTATGGTCAAGCCAGGCATTAAGAAGGTCACCACATTGCCACACCTGATTTTACAACTTTTTAAGACAGTCATTAAGCAAACACTGTGGTTGTTAAGCAAACCCATTGTATCCAATGGCTATTTTTTTTTGTGCTACAAACCAGAGTAAATAGCAGTTTCAGACAAACCCCCCCCCCATAACAAATCAGAATTGTGTGACCATGGGACAGTTCAAATAGCCCTAAATGCCGGCCATTTGCCAAATCCAAAACATGATCATGGGACAGTGGTAGGGGGCTATTGGAACTTTGAAATTGTGTTGTAAGTGGTTTGTCATAATTTCAAACGATCACTAAGTGACTGCCTAATTCAAGGACGACCTGCAACAAACTCCTTCTTTATAATGCTTGCTGATTGAAACTGGCATTCTGTGGAGGACTGTGCTTTCACAAAGAGGGCTAAATTTGCAGAAGTTTGTTGTCCAGTTTTTCTTATGGCTCAAAAACAAAGCCCAGTAAACAATAACCAGAATGAGCCATATGTTTGCAGCAGCCCAAAGTGACCCATAAGAGCTGGACATACCCCAGACCATGTCATCCACAGTCACACTGTGGATAAAATACAATAATTTAATTTTTATGTATTAGATTTATATGGCTGCTCACTTCATAAAACTGTAGGAAAATATCACAAGTGAATTCATGGTGCTCCCTGTGCTTGGTTGTTTGCTTGCAGACGTTTCTTTACCCAACTATGTAACATCATCAGTATGATAGCATTACGCTGATGATGTTACCCAGTCAGGTAAAGCAATGTCTGCAAGCAGCAACCAACCTCAGAGAGCATCAAGTATGCCACAGTTCCTTCCTGAGTTACAGATATTTTCTTCTATTGGACATCACAAAGGATACATCAATGAACCCATTAACTCCAAACCTGGGAACAAAGCCAGGGATTAAGAGCTTTCTGAAATTCCAGAAATATTGAGTGCCCTCCATATCTCGGGGGGGGGGGAAGGGGGGGGGGAATGCTGTCCCAGTTCTTGGCTGAGAGGGGATTTTCTTTGATTCCACAAGATGCCAGTATATAATTGAAGGAATTTGGAGTGCATCCATTCTGTCCCAATGTACCTGGCAAACAGAAACAATTGGAGAATAGCATCAGAAGAACAGGTAATTACTACTTTAAAAATAGATTCATAAAGTTGAAGGTCGAATCTGGGTTGGTCACCAAGACCAATTTTGATCTCACTGCATTATCCTGGGACACTTATATTTGTCTTCATTAGTAGTAAAGCTGACTTTAAGCTGCCTTAGCTGTGAGTTGCCTATGAGACTCAATAAAGGCGAGTTATCAAGATTTATATTCTTTGAAATTGAGTATTAATTCAATAGAAAATTAAACCAGAGTGAAATGTGCTGTACTCATTGCTGGTCCCAATCCTGCCTGTATTACCCTTGTTCCAAATCAATGCACCCCTCCAACGTTATAAGTGACACACACAGCCTAACTGGTTTTACAACAGATTTGTGCTCAGAAGAGGGGAAACACTATAGCAGATGATGGTAACTATGTGAGCAGGGATGTGATGTGAAAAACAGGTTGCTTGGTGTCATGATTAGGTGCGCATGGTAAATCCTGTTTAGCTTTGGAATCAGGCAAAATTGGCTAGGTGCTGCCTTACCCAGGAGAATTATAGAGCCAGCCTATTTCTGATTAGAGTAAGAGGCTAGAGAGAAAATGATAGGGATCAGTAATTCCTTTCTGATCCAATTGCGGAGGTTGCAAACTTGATGATAAAACCTGCGTTCCACTTTCGGTGAATCTTGGTTTAATGCAGATTAGTAAGAAAAACAACAAGAGGAACAGTGGTTTAATTTATACAGAATTTGTTTTTGCTTGCTAGCAAAGGAAGGGTATCTCAGGATTGCTGCCAGGTACTTGGAGATCAGTCTTGTGATGGCAGAAATGTCTACGTGTGCCAGAATGGGCACATATCACAAGATTAACCATTGCAGTGCTGAACAGGAGGAGAGTCAAAGGAGATTATTTTTAATGGTCCATGTACTTGAATGCACAAGCATTACCTCTTACAGATTTGGCGGTCCTACCATATCTAACTAGACCCCAAACCTCCTTCTAACATCCTTTTTGTTCCATGCATATCTCATACACCTGGCCTTGATCTCTGCAGCTTTCCACAATGTCTTCCCCGCCTCCCCTGGCTACCTGCCTGGCCCAGCCTTCCCTCTCAAGGAACTTATCCTGTGACTTTATTTGATGAACAGGGACCCCTGACAGCTCCCCCATTCCTTCTTCCTTCAGTCTGCCATCTCCTTGGATGGCTCAATTGCTCGCTGGCAGGCGCACAAGCTCCACAGGTGAGTGACTCTCCCCTTTCTTTCCCCCCAGCTCCCCAGCTAAGCGGAGGCCGGCTCAAGATTCCTGATATTCACCAGGTAAAGCCCCCTCTTTGGGCCCAATTAAGCTGCTCCAAACTGCAGCAGTGGGAGCATGTCTTAGATTCCCTTGTGGGTCAAATGCCATTCCCAATAAGTAGGATAGGATCCCACTTGTAAGGTACATATATACATTCCTTCAGTGATTTATTCCCAGTTCCCCCAGTTCAATATTTCCCTGCCAGGTTTTTTTTTCCCCCTTTAAGTTTGCCAGACCTAAGCTGTACAGCAAATCCATTTTCTTGGCTGTTGTTGGATTTTTCACAAAGTTGCGAAATGGAAGCAGCTTTCTTTATAAGGAGTTATTTATTAGTGGAATTCTTTGATTGCTTTCAAAGAGTACTGTACAATGGATTCTTCTGAGTGGCAGCTGATTAACAGCCGAGGTATAAAGATTTGCCCCTTTCAGAATAGAGAATAGGTTCTTTATATTTTCAACAGATATATTCTGTGAAAGTGGGTTCTTCTAATTCACTGCATGTGTACAAAATGGAGGAATTGGCTGTCTTGGGAGAATGCCAGTTTACAGATTAAGAAATATTCTAGAAGGGGGATTCAGGCAAGGACTGAGTAGGCTCACAGGCCCTAGAATGTTTATTGGCTATTTAAGAAAGAGACAAATGTACCATAATATGTGTGTGTGTGTGTGTGTGTATGTGTGTGTGTGTGAGAGAGAGAGAGAGGGAGAGAGAAATGCATTTTAGAAAAGGGCAACCTTAGAGCACTGAGTAGTGAAGTTATATCCATATGCCTAAAAGATGGTTATGGAAAACCAGTTTGGAATATTAGCATATTGGTAGGGAAACCCAGAGTTTTCAAAAGCCGGTCAGTGGGTGGGTAGAATAATCCCTTGCTATCATCTTGTACGAGACAATCATCATTATCATCAGCAACATTAGAACAATTTTATGAGAACTGAGTCTGCTCAGAGGACAAGCAATGGACTATTATTGGAAATGATGGACCATTTAACAAATGATTTTGTGTGATGTTTTGTCATAAACCCCACTTCTTCAACAGAATATACTCTTTAGCCAGAGATAGTTTTCACTTCTAGTAGAGAAATAGTAATACACTCTTGCAATGTACACACAGGGAATTGTTCCAGGCTGCCACTAGAATTTGCCATTGTCCAAATTCAATCTCAGAAGTATTAAATCAGTGAATTTCCCTTACACACCCACCCGTTCTGTGGCACCACCCAATTGTATGAAAATGAGTGAGATGTTCCTGGCTGCTACCTTGAAGTCCTCCTCCTTTTTTTTCATGTGAGAAAGAGCTTTATGTCTCTTGTGGCAGGAGTGTTATGCTGATTAATTCTGTGACAAAGATTGTGTGGCACACATTTCAGCAGAAACTCAGAGCACATCTCATTGCCAGCTCATGCTGCATCTGGGTTTGAAGTTTGAACTTCACTGCCGCGAAGTATCTTAACACCCAGTGAAACTCTTTCATGAATGAGTCAACAAGTGAGTCACGTCGTGATTATCTCCTGCTTGTACTTTTAAAATCTATTGCTGTCTAAATTTGGTATGGGAGTACACATGATACTCTGAATGTAAACATGAAACTTTACAGATCCCATACAAATACTGTATATGATTTATACAGCACACAGGAACACCACAAGCTTAAATCAGATTTTAACTACTAATGGTAGATGAACATGGTCTGAGCAGAGTTATACCTTACAAATAATCTTCAACTTACAATCATTCGTTTAATGACTTCTTGAAGTTACAACAGTGCTGGAAAAAGCGATTTATGACCAGTCCTCACACTTACGAATTGTTGTAGTCACATGATCAAAATTTGAGCACTTGGCCACTGGCATGTGTTTACCATGGTTTCAGTGATGACCGTTTGTAATTTCCCAGTGGGATTCTGATATGCAAAATCAATGGGGGAAGCAGGCAAAAATGACCATGGCAAAAAAAGGTCATAAAATCAGCCACAACCCTCTTATCGACAGCATTGTTTAATGACGGAAGTTCAAATCCCCATTGTGGTTGTAAGTCTAGGACTGTCTGCATTAGCTTTTAGAGAGGAAATTAATACAGCAAATTGTTGGGCCAAAAGTAAAACACTTTCATACTATTGCCCGGGAATTACATTGAATTACAGGGTTGGAAGGGACCTTGGAGGTCTTCTAGTCCAACCCGCTGCTCAGGAAGGAAACTGTATACCATTTCAGACAAATCATCAGGATAAGGAGGTAGAGGGTATCATCTTTTGAGGGAGGGGCTCTGGCTTGGAAAAGAGAAGTCACAACACAGCCATCATAGCTTATGAAAAGGCACAGAGAGCAAGTAAATTAGCTTCCCATGAGTCTTGATGGAACCTGAAATGCTTTGCTGTGACCTGTTCAGGATCCTTTAAATATTAAATATAGGTGGAAATATAAAACCATTGTTATTTATAGAGCACCATTAATCTAAAAGGTACACCACAGAATAATATATGATCTGAGGAAAATACAATTACAGTGGGAATCCCACCTCTAGAGAAGCGAAACGTCTCCAAAGAAAAACCAGAAAGTCCAGTTGCCTCTTGGGAAAGAAAAAAAAAAAGCACCTTTGGGACAACCATGACCTGGATGACTGAAAATCTCCATAGACGTACAGGTGGGAATAAATGTAAAAATAAAAGGTATGAAATTAAATAAAAACAAACCATTGAAGGTAGCCGTAGGAAGCTTTTTGGGGTTAGACAGGGGCATTTAGTGTTTTGAAAACTTTATCAGAGGGAAAACTAGTTTAGTAGTACCACATTAGAAAGTTCACCCAATCAATTTTGTAAAATCTTGTAGAACTTAGAAAGCTGCAATACTTGGCAACCCTAAATAAAACTCCTTCTGTTGCAACACAGCTTTCTCATCACCTTATGCACAAGCACGGTCAAATTGCCAGGCACATAGCAAAACTTAAAAATTTTCCTCAGCCCCAAGAGAGTTTTGAAACACACGCAGTATGAGATGTTCTCAACAGAAAGTGAAAAGTAATAAACTCATTTGGGTTTTCCCTTATTGAGAGAACAAGAAGAGTCATAACATGGAAATAACATGGAAAGCTAATTTACTTGCTCTGTGCCTTTGATAAGCTTTGACCAATGTGTTGTAACTTCTCTTTTCCAAGCCAGAGTTCCTCCCTCAAAAGATAGCACCCTCTACTTCCTTATCTTGATGATTGTGAAACTAATATTCAATAGTCTGTACTCCTTAGGATATGATGTAATGCGAAGGAACCTTCATGAGATTTGTGTTGTCCTAACATAGAACATAAAGTTAGAAGTGACCTAAGAGATTCAATTGCATGCAGACCACATGATTAACTGATGACTATCCAGTCTAGTATTGGCAAACCTATGACATACATGTCAAAGGTGACGCATCACAAATTTGGGGTAATATACCAGTATTCACCAACCCCCGAGGACACCTATTCTCAAAAACGTGCCATGATCTTGTGCAATTTTTAGAGATTGCACAGTGAGAACATGGTGTGCCCTCACATAGCCTCCAGTAGTTGTACAAGAGAGCCGTGTTCTCATGTGGCCTCTGGAGGTTCCAAAACTCATGCAAGAATGGGTGTGTGTGTTTTTGTGTGACTTTTGGAAGCTGCAGAAGAGTCCTTGTCAATATGGCAATGTCTGTAGATATACATTGCTTTCTTTTCAGTGGTCTGATCTACATATCAGACTTAGCAGCTAAACCATTTTTATTTAACCAGGTTTAAATACTGTAAACCAAATATGGCAGTCTGAAAACCATATATCAGCTTCAGAAACTCTAAGGCAACATTTTTTAAGCTTGGCAATTCTAAGATGTTTATACACTTGAGCTTCCAAAATACTGGCTGGGGGGTTCTGGGAGTTGGAATTCACCCATCGTAAAGTTGCCAAATTTGAAAAACACCGATCTAAGGCGCTTGTTGCTCACCAGGAACGAACAGGGCTAAAATATTCAGAACTGTGTTTGTTTTGTTTAACTGGCTTACAATGGTCATTTTGGGGGGGGGATCAATATTATTATTGCAGATGCCATCTTGACTTTTTTTCACACACTCCTCGACATAGCTGTGGTCTGCCTATGCTCACTGCACAAAACTTCTTTAAGTCCTTGAGCTGTTGGGTAAGAGTTGTGCTCCCTGTTTTTATTGTTGGAAAAGCCTAGTTAAAATATGAAGCCAGAGTCACCCTGAAGTGCTGCTTAGGGTGAATACCAAATAACTTTAGGAGTGACTTGAAGGGCACTCCTTCTGAAATTCCATGTTCTCACTGCTAAGCATCAAATTGCTGTTGTAATCATTATTTAGAAGCTTATCATGCCTTTCTCTCTGTCAAGGACGCTCAAGGCAGTTAGCACCAAAAGAGCACTCAAACTAGTGCAATTAAAGTAAATTATACAAATACAAAGTAAATAAAGTCCATATTAAGTGTTGTATAGTTTTGTTTTGTTTTTCCTGTGATGTTTTACGCATGCAGGATGCTTGCTCAATTTCTAGAATGAATGATAAAACCCGCCCTATGTTAGGACATCAGCGAGAGGACAAGGATAGATTTATTTCAGGTTAAAACCAACCCACAGGGATATGGTAGCATAAAAGGAAGAAAAGTGGAGCGGTGAAAGCAAGGGTGGGAAAGGAGAACTACTTAATTTCAGAGAAGCCCATTAACCATCACAAGCTTCTTAGAACAGTGGTCTCCAAAGTTGGCAACTTAAGACTTGTGGACTTCAATTCCCAGAATTTTGCAGCCAGCATGCTTTAGAAGCAGGGCCCTGATTGGCAATGGTCTGTGCCAATCTTTCCTGGCATTTTGGTCAATGATAAAGGACAAAGAGGAATGGATTTTTTTCTGCCTTTCCCTGCTTGGAAGGTAGGAGGGATGGGCGAGTCACCTGCTTGTACTTCACATTCCTATCC